CTATTTTATGAGCTAAAAGAGAAATCATGCTCGGGGTAGGTATGGTAATTCAGGATTATAATTTGGCAGCCGATAAACAATACATAATTTATGAAGAACTATTTAAAATTGTGATCAAGTCTTGATCAGAGAATTGTCTGTATAATTTAAAAAATTAGCATCACACTAGGGAAAAGAGTCAAAAGACAGACTAATGCTCACCACATGAAGCAACTATAGGTAGCTCGGGGTGCCTGACAATGGATCTGATGCTTCCAGAGCATTTTCCGGTAAAAGATCCTAACATTTTTCCTGTATTTATTAAAATAATATCAAAACAAAGTCATTCAAAAAAGTTCAACTCAGAGACAATAGAAACAAATGAAATAAATAAAGTTCACAATAATTAGAAGCTATAGCAAAATGCAATTAAACCAATTAACAATCTATTATCTAAATAGTAGGAAAACATCACATATAAAAGCCACAAGGGGTCATCTTTACGATAATCTATAAATACACATGTTTGTATTGAGGGAACTATGCCAGATCTAACTTCTGTTGCCAAATAAAAGCTAATTTATAACATTGTCTAAAATAAGATTTTATAGAATTAATGTAATAAATAAGCAGCAAATTGTCCAAAGTTAATGGTCAAAAATGAAAAATGAAGAATATCAGAGTAATACAGTATACTGAATAATATAAAAAGTTAAATGTTGTTGTAATCACTTCCTAAATTTATGAAACATTTCCAAAATTTTGGGGATACCTGTACGTATATCAACAGAAGCCATGTCACCCGACCCATTCCCTAAATAGATTGTGTTGCCATCTATATCCTCAGCCAGTGCTTTAATTGGTGTCTCACGAAAATCAATAGAGAGAACAGGCCTCCTCTGAGCAGATATGTCATATAGGCGAACCTGTTCAAAGGACCAAAATTTGTAAATGGAAGAGTAATTAGAAAATGTATGAGTAGGGATACAAAGTAAACAACAGCATATCCACAGTTTGAAACATATTATGCTTAGTATCCTCATCTTTTTTGATAAAATGGAAATATCTCATGCAACATTATGGTCAAACTAAATTACTCTTTTAAAAGGTTAATTATGAGATAGTTTTCTAGTCATGCTAGAAACAAATAGTTGATTTGAAAAGAATATGTTTGGGACTCGGGAAAATGTGAATAAAAAACTACCTTCTAATTCAATTAGGCCAGACCTTATCCATTTAAGAAAATTAGTCATGCTCATTCATAAACTTAACTGGATTGCAATTCTTTACATAACAGATTCACTATAGTTCATATGACAATAAAGTATTCTTACATGATTGTCAAAATTAAGTATTAATACTTAATTATAATTTGTGGGTATACTGTGGAAATATGCTTCCTTTCCCTCTTGATAAATTATAATTAGTTTTTCTCAGCAATTCCAGATTGAGAGTGATTATAATCCTTCTCAAGAGTCTCTACTCTAGAACTACCATACCCTCTAACACATCTTGTTGAAGGATACCAACATAAAAGAGGAGTGTTTTGTATTATCACACATAAAAGATCTTTTCCTTCATTTAGTATAGAATAGAATTTAAGAAGAATTCACTGATTAAAATTACCTGATGGTTATTGGTGCCAGCAACAAATTTCCGATGGTCATCTTTACTTAGATATGAAACAGATGTGAACCAGGTAGGTGTAAATATACCTAGGCTGTTTTTAGGTGGCTGCATAGGTTAAAAGAATTGGTAAAATCGAGCTTAGTAAAAACAACTGTGTTCTGGCAAAAGATAAATTGGGGAGAAATTAATGGTTAATAAAAAAATATGAAGTGAAAGGGGTAGAAGTCATGGCTCACAGATTTTGCATTCCAGATCTTCGTGTAGTTATCAAGATCCCAAATATTGACTTCAACTCCTTTCCTACAAACAAAGTACTTATTCATTATTTTAAGGTGTCAGGTAACATTAATAGATAATAATAACTAAAGCTATAAGGTGATGCCGTGTTTAGATTCTCAAAGGCTTATGGTAAAGGGTGTTTATTTGTATGCTGTATATATCAGTCATAATTTGCAATATGCTTGTGTGATTGTTGCATAACTTGCAATATGCTTGTGTGATTTTCACCTCAAAAATGCAATTACTCAAACGATTCAATAGTTATGTGGATTCAATATATCTTTGAAGTTTCTATGTTATGCAAACGGTAAAAACTCACCCTCCAAATAACGCAAACTTCTCATTTCCGTCCACCTTGCAACACAAAACATTACCACTATTGCATACATTCCAGGTTTTTGAAAAAATAGTATTGGAAGATTCTGCCACTGATTCAGGAACTTCAATGGACCTTATGCTTGCATTCCCTTTGCCCGTGCATGTAAGTAAATTATAAGCCCTAAATAACAATGAACACATTTGAATGATGTTGGAAGTATACAAATACAAAATCACAAACACATATCAGACACACCCACACACATACATAAGTACAAACACACAAGTGTATAACGCAAGTAATTAAGGTATCTCAAGCATGAGAACAAGTGCACGCACAAGGACACACATGCAAGATTAAAGTATTTTAAACATGAGAACCAACTATTAACTTGCAGGTTGTAAAGAAAGTCACAAAAGAGGTAACCGGTAACACTGAATGTATGATTGGAAGATTTAAAAGATAAAACAATACCTAAACCGAATGCTCTTATGTATACTAGTAATTAGGGCCAGTACCAATACCATTACAACAAGTCCAAAGTAGTAACAATGAGGCTAATAACCCTAGTATATTCTAACAACTATCAAGACGGATTAGACATTAAACCTGCCGACAAATCAACCTAAAAACAACACAAAAGTTTCATTCATATACCGTTGCATTCACACAGTTGCACGAAGAAAGAGCAAGGCAATTCAATTATTTATAGAGAAATTAAACTGCGGTAATTGCTCTATTGAGCAAAAAGTCAAAATACAAAAACGATAATAAGAATGAAAAACAATCTTAAACTGTCAAAAAGACTACCGTTTAAATACCTGGAATCAATCTCAAGATTTTGTTTTGCAAATAGATGCAAACCAATAACATTATTCTCTTCAGAATGAACATCTAAATCATTGGCCTTTGAAATCGTAGCTTGAGAAACTCCAGTGATAGGACTCAAAACCTCAATCTGCATTTTTTAAAGTGAAATGCTTTAATTTTAATAACAAAATATCGAAAACAAAAGACTATAAAACCGCAAAGTAGCTTACCTGGCCATTTTTCCTTGCTACAGCTAGTAACTGCAATACCAGAAAAACATAGGGAAATAATAAGAACCCTAAATCCTAAATCCATTGCACAAATTCGTATAGAGATTCATGAAAAGTGCAATCCCATCTAAGAGCAAAACGTTACCGGGTTGGATTTGCGGTCAATGATTGAAACAGCGTTAACAGACTTGGAAGCATCAGGTTCACCCCATCGCTCTACGACCTTGGGGCCTCCTTGATTTTCACGGGATTCCAGAACTAACAACAGAAAGCATAAATAAGAATAAACAAAGTGCTAAATTAAGAAATGGAGTGTGAAAGAGAGAAAGTACCTTTGATGAGACCGAGTGTATCAAACGTTAAAGCACGAAGGGGAGGGCAACCAGGGCACTCCAGAGTGGTGGCACGAGGCATTTACACACTGGAAATGAAAGAGCGGCTGAGGGAGTGAGTTGGCGGAAGAAATTACGACGGCGCTGCACTGGTCTATAGCAGTCTTGTTTAGGTTAGTGAAGAAATTACGACGACACCGCAATACGCCACCAACAAAATCGATACTCTCTTACTCGCCTTCTTTTTTCTTTATCAAAATACAATATACAATATTCAATTTCATTTATTTATTTATTTCGTTTAAATTCACTTTTAGTCCTTCTATTTATAAATTTATAAATTTTTAATTATATTTTAATTTTTTTTCAATCTTTTACTCTTTTAAGTTGTTATTTTTTGGAATTCTTTTTAATCTCCTCCTATTTTAATTATGTGCCACTCAAAATGGTGAGTTGGCATGGGAGGTCAGATGTCATGTCATTTAATAAGAATATTAATTTAATGACATGACATGAAATTAGAATTTTTTTTTTTAATGAAATTTTAAAATTTGAAAAAAAAAAGTTTAACCATGTTTATATATTAAAGGAACTCTAATCTCATTCCCTAATTTCTACATCTCTTTCATCAACTATCTGCGAACGAGTTGTAAAATCACCATGGAATTCAAAGGTCAATCAAGAACGAAAAGGAAGGAATAAGTGAAATATTGTATGAGGTAAGTGAAATTTTTTTTACTTGAATTATAGTTTATGGTTTAGTACGCATAATGTTTCCATTTCTAAAACATGTGGTCCCTTCTTCTTTTTGTTTATTCTGAATGCGGTCCCAAAAAATTGTTGTTTATTCTGAGTATGGTAATTAAGGTTGTTTAGTCTGAATTAGGGTTTATTATGAATGTGGTCTCAAATATGTCTCAAATATTGATGTTTGTTCTGAACCTTTGTTTCTATTACAGACCAAGTCAAAATTAAGGTATTAGGATACGATTTCATCTTAGGGGAAAGCTAGTGTTTGAACTTGTGAAGTGGTATGTAAACGGGGTAGTTTGTGAAATGAACTGGGAATGGGATATAATTATGCGTCCTATATCCAATTGGAAAAGTTGATTCACAATGAGGAATATACCAATATTAAGTGTTTATGGTATTGGAACCCAAAGTATAGTTTTGCATGTGGCCTTAGACCCCTAAATTCTAATGAAGATGTGCTATAATTTATTGCTGATGTTAAGGATTATGGTGTTGTAAATGTGTATGTAAAGCACTCAGTTTGTACTCTTGATATTATAGATGAGGCTGAGCTAGGAAAGGAACATGACAATGTGGAGGAGGAACAAGAAGTGAAGATGACAATGTGGAGGAGGAATAGGAAGTGAAGATGACAATGTTGAGGGAGGAATATGAGGTGAAAATGACAATATGGAGGGAGGAATAGGAAGTAAATATGACAATGTGGAGGGAGGAGTAGGAAATGAAAATGACAATGTGGAGGGAAATGAAGATGACAATGTGGAAGGAGGGATAGGAAAGAAAGATGATAATGTGGATGGAAAGGAACATGACAATGTGGATGAAGGCAATGATTCATTAAGTGAAGGTGATGAGGAATATGTTGAAAGTGAAGGTGAGAATGATTCGTCAAGTGAAGGTGAGGATGATTATGTTACAAGTAAGGATGACACAGATTCAATCAATGTGGATTGGACCTTAGTGATACAAGGTAGTGAAGATGTGTGTCAAGTTGCTAAGAAAGAATGTGATTATGACTCTGATCAGCTACATACTTCTCCTGATAACGGGGATGATGAAAAAAAAATTGAAAAATTCCCATCTTTTAGAAGTGGTGAAGGATTACAATTTCAACTGGATATCCTTTTTAACAACAAAGAATTAGTGAGAGAGGCTGTAAAGGATTATTTAATGGATATGAAGAAAAATGTCTTTGTTAAGAAAAATGATGCCAAAAGGATAGTAGTTAAGTGTATGGAAGGTTGTAATTTTTACATGAGACTTAGTAAAAGGGTTGTTAATCAATTCTAGCAAGTTGTTAGTCTTATAGATGAACATAGGTGTTGTAGAACACCTAAGAATAGGCAAGCAAAACCAGGTTGGCTAGCTAAGAGGTTTACAAATATTTTAAGATATAACCCTAATATGAAACCTGTGGGTTTGATTGATGAGTCATTTGATAGATGGGGAGTGAAATTATCCCATGATCAAGCATATAGAGCCAAAAGAAGGGCAATGGATATGATTCAAGGAGCTGGAATTGATCAATTTTCACATTTGAGAAGTTATGCTGAAGAGCTGCTTAAATCAAACCCAAATAGTACAATTCTGGTGCAATGTGTTGACTCTAAGGAATGACCTATGCTTGAAAGGGTTTATATTTGTTTGGAGGCCTGCAAGTATGGATTTTCCAAATACTATAGGCTACTTATAGGGTTAGATGCTTGTTTTTTGAAAGGTGACTTTGGTGGAAAATTAATGGCAGTCATAGGCAGGGATGGAAACAATCAAATTTTTCCTATTGCATATGCTATTGTGGAAGCTGAGACAAGAGCATCTTGGGAGTGGTTCATATACCTTTTACTTGAAGACTTATTGGAAATCGATCACAAGGCTTATGTATTCATTTTAGATGAGCAAAAGATATCCCTTACATACTTGATCTGACCTGATCAGAAGGGGATCACGATATGGCCACGCGCTACTGGACGGCTACCTGTTCACCGGGGTGAGAAGGAGGAGGGGGTGTACCTGCAAGACACTCTGATGCCAAAGTAAGAAGTTGGGCAGAGTGGAAGCAATAGTACAGAAAAAGGGGCAAGAAGAGTTACCTGACCCTCTTGAGGAAGAGGGTATTTATAGAGAGACCCCAGCGCTGGGCCAACGATCATTTGAGGTGGGCTGGATGACCAGGCCCAACCCTAATGACTGTTAGGGCTTACGTGGCGTAGTGAAGACCAGGACGTGGTCTTCGCCCTAGTCCAACCGCTCCTAGATCTCCGGAAAGTGGGTTTGACCTGCTCTTTCGGAGGTGGGCAGTTGGTTGATGACGTGTCCCCGCGGAGGGGAGCACGTGGAGAACGTGCGCCGAGCACGTTATTCTCCCCGCGGAGGGGAGCCCGGGAGGTTCCCCGGAGCGCGTTGTTCTCCCCGCGGAGGGGAGGAGCCAAGGGCCGCGCTTTGGTGAGCCGGGGACGGTTCTGCTCGTCCGGTGTGGTGGACGATGAAAGGTTGTTGGGACGTTGCTTGTGTTCGGCGGCTTGCCCTGCTCGTCTTGAGGGGTGCACGTGCCCGGCGTGCCCGATTCGCTTGTTGGGCCGTACGCGGTATTGGGCCTGCTGAGGTTGGGCCCATACCGGAACAGGAGCCCCCCAAGTCGAAGCTCTGGGGAGAGAGTGAGGACTTAAGGTCGCCGCAGCTGGAATGGGCACTCGTGCGAAGATCTCCGGTCGTCGGCAGAGCGGGGAGGAGGCAGGTGAAGGGACGCGACTGTCAGGTTGCCGCCACGTGTCTTACGTTAAGCGGTCGTAGGGGCGGCTACCCTATGTCATTAATGAGCCTAGGGTCGCTTCGAGTCCCGCGCCGGGTTATAAATATGGAGGTCCCCGCTCATTCTGCTACTTTTCTCTCTGTCGTTGTGTCCGCTAAGCTTTGTCGTCTCTGCTCGTCCGCCGCTTGCCTCCGATCGCCGCCGTACCGTTTGATCTTTTCTTCTGTCCGCCGCCGTTACAAGTGAGTTCCTCTTTTCCCTCCCTTTTTATTTCCGTCGTTTAATTGGAACGTGTGGTCGGGGCGTGATGAACGCCCCGAGGAGGGACGCGAGTTCCGCCGTGTCTGGCGAATTTTCTGACGAGTGTCCCGGGGAGGGTAGGCTGGTTCCGATGAATGCCCCGAGGACGGGAGCTTTTTCTGATGAACGCCCCGAGGACGGGGGCTTTCTCCGATGAATGCCCCGGGGAGAAGTACCTTCTCCGATGGCTGTCCCGAGAGGGGATGAGGGGTCGGCCTTTGATCCCCCGAGGAGGGTAGACGGGGAGCGAGTGTTTGCTCGTCGCTTCCCGGCCTTTGTCGCCCTTTCACTTGACTTGCGGTGGAAGGGTGGATTTGATCCTGGCTATCGAATTCACCGTTGTCCTCTGCTTTCAGGTGTAGATGTCGGCTCTGGTGCCGGGGATAATGGTCGAAGACAATGAACCTGAGATTCCGGAGTATGACGATGAGCGTATTGCCCCGTCCGAGGAGTGGGCGGTCGAGGAGCCGGTTTCTACCCCCTCTTGCTTTGTGGCCGACGCGTCCGACGTGTACGCCACGGTCGAGGACACGCCTATAGGAGAGCCACAACACTGGCAGGTGTACCGACCAAAAGAACATCACCGTATCTGCTTGCGATATGGGCGGCGGATGTTCTCGATGCATGAATTCTACTTTAAAGAAGCTCGGCTCCGGTTACCGTTCTCCGCCTTCCATCTGGGGCTTTTTGACTTGTTGCGCCTTGCCCCGTCCCAGCTGCACCCCAATGCCTTGGCTTTCATCCGGGCTTTCGAGGTGGTGTGTTTCTACCTCTCGGTGGAGCCGATGGTGCCGTTATTTTTCCGCATCTTCCATCTGCAGCGGCAGACGGTGAATGGCCGCCACGGATGGGTTTCTTTTAAGCAATCGACAAAAATTTTCAAAGCGTATAGCGATTCTGTCAAAGACTTCAAAAACCGATTCTACCTCGTCAAACCGATTACGCAGCACGGCTCGGACACTCTCTTCGACGAGGGTGAGCGAACGGTAGATGGCCAGCGATTCCGCGCGTGGCTTCCTAAGATACATCTACTGTGGACTGCGGAGCATTTCAGCCGAGGGACAGATAGGTATACCGTCCGGGCGGGGACCCTCGAGGAGAAGGACATGGCCGCTTATTTGAAAATAATTGCCTTCGTGCGGTCTCTCCCTCCGTCGAAGCTGGTGACGCCCGACGGTCGGTATATCCTTGACGCTCAGGGGAACGTACGCACCAAGAAGCGTTTGATAAATACTAAGACCTTGCTCGGCTGTGCGACCGGGGCGGCCGCTCTGGATTACCTAGGTAGGAATGTCCGTTTTTCCCCCCGTGGTCGGGGTTTTTGACCGTCACTAACTCTTTTCTTTATTTTTGCAGCGAACATGTCTTCCGTCGAGGAGCGGGTGAAGCAGTTGCGTGCTACTAGGAATGTCGCGGCCCCGAGGACGAGGGTGAGCCAGCTGGTCGGACAGGAGGTCGCGACGCCGGGGGGGGCAAAGTTCGTCCTCTTCGCCTCAAGAGAGCCAATCTCCTGCGTCTCAAGGAGCGTCGAAGAGGCAGAGGTCCGAGGAGCCCCGAGTGGTGGATCTGACGGTCGGCACCGTCGAGGAAGGTTATGTCGTCCCTCCCTGCCACCAGCATCCGGGATATTTTCATGGTGCCCTTTCTCCCACTGTCTCCTCCGGGGAGGTGAAGGTTGTTCGTCAGGCCGATCGAGAGACCCGTCGACGTGTCTTGGCTGAGGACTTGGCCGCAATGATGCGGACGTTCACGACGGCTCTTGTGCTGAACGAGGAGGGTTGCTCTGCTGCTGAGCTGTCCAAACTGCAAGGGGATCTCACTTTCACGCAGTCGCGGTTGGCCAAGCTCACTGAGGAGTTGGAGAAGAGCCAGAAGGATGTTGCTGAGCAGCGGAAACGGGCAGAGGGTGCTGAGGGGAAGGTGACTTCGCTGGAGGAAAAACTGGGGACAGCGACGGCCGAGGTGCAGGCGCTGAAGATCCGCATGGAGGTTTTGGACAGCGCGGTTCGTCCGGCCGAGGACGAGACAGACGGGGATCGGCGGTTAATCACTCGTGCTGACCTGATCGCTCGTATCCGGGTGTTGGAGAGCGACTGTCTGGAGGCTGTTGAGGTCGGGTTCAAGAGTGTTGTCGAGCAGGTTCAGGTCGCCAACCCTGGTGTCGTGCTGGCCGTGGACGGGATAGGGCCGTACCACGAGATTGTTGATGGGAAGGTGATCGATCCCTATCTTGTTATCCCCGAGGAGGAACCCGTGGCTGCTGATCGGGCGGACGAGGAAGCATAGGTTGTCGGGCCTGCGTGCTCGTTGTTTTTATGGCCTGCGTGCCGATGTTTGTTATCTCTTTTCTTTGGGCCTGCGTGCTCTGTATTTGTACCATTGACTACTGGGCTGGTGCCTGCTTTTGTTTAATATATTTTTCGTGGATTTTCTAAGTGTGCGCTCGTTATTTGCATGTCGTTTTATGCTCGTTTTTCGTATTTGTTTGAATGCCTCTGATGTGTATGACATTTCTTGTAAATTTTCTAAGTGTGCGCTCGGTGTGTTTAGCTCGACAATTTGTTACCGGTAGTGCAGGGGACTGGCCGGTTTGGCCGGCAATGTAGTCGGGCCGTTTCGGGGGTAGTTCTCCCCGGGGCGTGGACGGCCCATCGCGAGCTGGGTGTCCTGCCTCTTTTGGTACGACGGCGAGGAGCCTCGGTCGAGGTATTCCCTGCCGAGCAAGGCCTTCTGCCCGCGCACACGAGAGGCAGGGCTTGCTTTTCTGTGGTCGCTAGTGGACGCGGGGGTGTGCGGTGGTACCATGTCGCCCCCCCAGTGGTCGAGACGATGGGTCGTCGCGGGCAGTGTTTTAACTGTAGTACCGCTTAAGTTTCGCGGCGTTCCATGGTCGAGCTAGTTGTTCACCGTGTAGGTTTTTGAGGTAATAGGCCCCGTGCTCCGTTTTGTCCCGGACTCGATACGGGCCTTCCCAGTTCGCAGCCAGTTTGCCCTCGTGGGAGTCTTTCTGGTTTTTGCGTAGAAATAAGTCGCCTGTTTGAAAATCGCGTTTTATGACTTTGTTGTTATGGCGAAGCGTGACTTGTTGCTTCAGCCGGGCTTCCCGGAGGGCTGCTCCTGAGCGAATTTCTTCGACGAGGTCGAGCTCTTCTCGGAGGGAGCCGTCGTTGTCGTCGGTATCCAGGGGAGCTTCCGTTCGTCGGGACGGTTCGCGGATTTCGACCGGTATCACGGCCTCGGTTCCGTACGTGAGGCGAAATGGGGTTTCCCCCGTGGTTGAGTGGGGGGTAGTGCGGTATGCCCAGAGGACGCTGTGGAGTTCTTCGACCCATGCTCGTTTGGCGTCGCCGAGTCGTCGTCTGAGTCCTCTGAGTATAACTCTGTTCGCCGACTCCGCCTGGCCGTTTGTCTGAGGATGTTCGACCGAGGCGAAGTGATGTTTGGTTCCGAGTTTGGTGACGAAGTCGCGGAAGTTTTTGTCTGTGAATTGTGTGCCGTTGTCGGTGACGATGGCGAGCGGCACCCCGAATCTGGCGAGGATGTTGCGTTTGTAGAATCGGAGTATGTT